ATAACAACATTCTAAACATATCTACTTGAAAAGAAAAAATAGGCTTGAAAAAATAGCATTTAAAGTCCAATAATATAGTGACGTTGGTAGATTTTATATTATTTATTTCATCTCCATTGTCAAACTTGAGAACTATGTAATGATAAAGCATGAATATCACACATTCTACAACTTCAATGTTTCATTTCATCACCATGTACCTTTACATTATGTTTGTTCTTGCTTTGACTATGAGTAGCTAGACTTTTAGTTGGCTTATCCACGGAGAATTTCCTCTTGGGTGTGTGAAATCAACTCTTTTCTATTCTTCCTCGCAGTGTAAAGTGGTTTGATTTGACTAGGTTGAGTGCGGACGTGGTTGTGAGCTCTTGATACACCATAGACTTGTCATGAAGTATGCTTGGGCTAACACCTTAGTCCCTCACTTCCTATGAATCAATCAAACACTGAGACACCATTGGTTGAATGAATTGAGTCAATTTTGCATTCCCATTGGAATGACCTCTATGGATTAGCCAACTTTGCTTTTTTGCATTTTTACCAAAACACAACTCACCAAAACATAATTCATAAGATTTTCCAATTTTCTTTAGAAATCACCCTTCCTAAACATTTGACCTTTCTACCTTGAGGAGGCGACTTTGGAATACCCATTCCAAGTAAAACATGACATTGTAGGTCTCTCTATGCTTGGGAAGCACTTTTGTATGCACACACACACATTTTTGTTTACGCACACGATTTTTTGCATTTCTTGCATAAAACCCGAGGGGGAGGGACACTCACCTATTCGTAATACACACAATTGGGCCCGTGTTTGGAGATTAGGGTGAACCGAATCAAGCATTTTTGGCACTGTTGCTAGGAAAGGCTAAGTGTCAAGTTTCGAAGGTGATTTCAGACGGCATAGGTAAGTCTCGTGATTTTCATCATGGGCCAGGGTATGTCGTCTCGATTGTAAATAGTTTGTTGTAGTTTGTGTTTTATGTTATGTTTCATATTTTTTTTTATCATAATGTGTTAAATTACCCAAATTTTAAAAATGTGTGTCAGATTTGTGATGAGTACGAGCACAACACCAGTGAGTGTCCATTAGATTATATGGTTCAAGATTTTGCATGTGAAGGATCAATTTCAATACTGGCCCTCAAAAAATTTTACCCCGACTATTATGTTGCAATGAGTTGTCCGAGTTATGGTTGGGAGAACGAACCTTATAATTTTTCATCTGATCTCACACCACCAATTGAACTTTGCCACTATCCTACATATGAGGACTCAACAGAACAAGAATTGAAAAATACTCTTTTCGAGTTTATGCGATACCAAATGGAAGTCAATGCCCAAGTAGCCCAACAATTTTCTGAAATTAGAGATGAACTAATGTCATAATTAGTAATTGTGAAGAACAACATCTTGGGCATAGTCAATGTATTGAGGATGATCATTTCTATGGAATACAAGTTGATATTGAATCTCCCACTACTCTTGATTATGAAAAATTTAATGAAGTTATTATCTCACATGAAGCTAATAAGCCCAAGGTCAATTTGCCATCAAAGAGTGGTGTGGAGGTTCACAAATTTCAACTTGGAGACGACATTGAAATGGAGTTAAGTGTAGAAATTTATAAAAAGAAATTGTATACTCCATTGTTGGAATTGCATAAACTTGTGCGCAACTCGGTTTAGTTGAGAATTTTTAATGATTATCTTTTTTATTGTTGGATAGATTGGTTAGGAAAGACATTTATACACCAAAAAAAAATTAAATTCAAAAAAATCAATGGGTGCATGCTCATATCCGAATTGAACCCGGATTGACAAGAGTCCTTTTTATTTTATTTTCTTGTACATAGTAGTTACATTTCTTTTATTGTTATATTTTTATTTTCATTATGTTGTAGTGTAGATTTTAGCATGAAGTTGATTACCTCTTCATAATTTGGACTCAATTCATTTTGAGCATCATCATAACAAATGTTATTCAATATCATGTTCGAGTCTAAGTTGGGGGGGTGTAAACAAGCTTTTTTGTGTTACATTTTCCCTTTAATGTGTGTACTAACAAAAAAAGAGTATTTTATTTCCCATGTTACTTTCATTTTTCTCATTGCATGATTTCTTATGCATTGAGGACAATGCATGGTTCAAGGTGGGGGGGGGGGGGGTGAGGTACACCATTTACATGTTTCACCACTTTTTGTACAGAATAGTTGGAAATGTGAAAATTTTGAGAATTTTGGACATTTTTTGGGGACAATATCTAATATTGAACTATATTCCCCTATCCTAATTGTTATGGGAGTTGTGATTGCTTGATCTTCATTTTGAACTTTGAACATATGAGTACACCATAGAAGTTTATCCTATGTTTGAGTATCACATATGTATTTTTTTTTAAACTCAATCATAGTGTAACTTGAATGTGTTATTTTGGCAATTTACTGATTGGATCCACATTTTGGTGCTTGACATACATAGTGAAGATGAAGTAAATACCCATGTGATCTTTAGTGCCAATCCTTGTTGTAGGGAGCTTACACTTACTCAAAGAAATAATTTTTCAAATTCAAATATGTTCAATAATCTCATTATGCTTGCTTTGGTTAGGGTGCATGTGGATAGTTGATTGACTTTGTCTTAAAATGCCAACATGACTCCCCATGCTTATCTAGAGATGATCTTAGGCCATCTATGAATTTTTTTGAGCCTTAGCCTTTTTCTTGTGAAAAATTTATCCCTAGTGCCGTGGTTGAGCTTTAATTGAAAGTCCATTTCCATGCCACATGATTGACCAAGACAGTGTAAAATGATTAAAATTATCACACCTTGGTTGTTTCAAGACTGACTGTGATTGATCATTAAGGAAAGGAAATGTGGTGAGGAAACCCAAAAAAGGGATGAATATCATTGAATGAAAAAGAAGAGAGAAAGTCAAGAAAAAGGAGAAAAGGGGGGGTTGAACAAGAAAAGAAAAGAAAAGAAAAATGTTGAGAAAAAAAGAGACAAAAAGTTGACATGGTGTAAAGTTGAAAGTTCCACAAAAAGGAGATTTTTGTTAATAATGGTCATGCCATTGGAATAACCCTTTTTGTCTCCCTCTACCCTTCATTTGACTCAGCCCAAGTATCACCCCAAAGCCTCATTACAAACCTTGAAAGCCCTAAATGATCTAGAGAAAGCATAGTGAGAGCACACTTTAAATGAAAAGAAAAGTTGAGACTATGCCAAGTTTGTGTAGGTGCATGTACATCATTCATGAGACTATGCCAAGTTTGTTTCAATGCATGTACATCATTTTTGGATGATAAGTGAGCATTTTGGTTTGTGTATAAAATTCTACTCACATATATACACATGGAGAGCAAGCTCGGATAATCATTGAGTTATTCATTTTAGAGGGAAACCCTTGGTGAGTTTTGCATCAAAGTTGAATTGGATAGCTAAGTGAATGTGGATTCCATTGAGTAAATGCTTAAATTATATATTCATTTCACACACATGAGTTTTGAAAGGAAATGTGTAGGTGGATACTCTAGAATAACATTTAAGGCTATGATCTGATTCATGTATGATTAGTTTGGGTTCATTGGACAAAGCTATTTTTGACATCGTAGTGCTAGTCAGGATAAAGGGCATATGTTTCAAATGTTGGATATAAGGAAAAGAAGTTTGTAGGTACCTTCACTAGAAATATTAACGAGACAAAACTCGTCCACTAGGGATCACTTAGGGGTTTTAAGGCTTCTTGCATATGCTAAATGCAACAGTGGAATTAGTATATGTTTATTTTTGTTTGCCTAAATTTTACATGTAGTTTACTACGGACTAGCAAAGTTTAAATTGGGGGGGGGGGGTGTGATGAGTGTGTAATATTGCATATTTAACGGCCTCATTACAAGCATTTTAACTCAACTTTGCATTTAATTACTTAAAATTTAGAATATTTTTAGCAATAAAAATTTTAGAATTAAATCTAGTATGTTGGATCAGATTTGGAAAGGAGATTCTAGGATGTGAGCACAATGGAATGTTTTAGGCTCAAAATAAAGGCAATCTTGGTCAACAAGAAAACTAAAATTCATGAACGACCAATGTAAAGCCCGAGAAATTCAAATTTTATTGTAAAGGACAAAATGGTATTTAGCCTTTATGGTGCAGTTGAAAATCCAAATTTTTTAGAATTTGAATGACTAAATGGACCTCATTGTTGGATTTGTCCTGCTAGATCTACCTGCCTAGTCAATTTTTGTCGAATTTTGAGGCAGACGGATTATGTGCTTCCCTTTTTAAACAATCATCTAAACCTATTTTTGTGGAAGAATCTATAGGCAAGATTCAAAAAAATAGTTTTCATTTATGAGGGTGAGCCTACCTTCTATTTCACTAATGACGAAGTGAAACAATCCTGTATTTTTGTTAAGCATGCATTAATAGGCCAATGTGCTTATAGCAGACCAAGCTTGGGAGTACTACAAAAAGTGATAAGATCAACATGAGATTTGAAAGGTGATTTTGAGATAGGCTTAATGGATCCCAAATATGTCTTGACAAGGTTTGAAAGGCACGAAGACTATGTGAAGATTTGGTTGAAAAGATGCAACCATGATTAAAGATTATTTGTTCAGATTTTTCTTGTGGTTTACTCCATTCGTGATTGGTATAGAGTCATCCATTGTTCCTATGTGAATATCCTAACCTGGATTGCCTTTGAACTTTTTCAAATAGCCTTTCTTGGTGTTATTTGTAAAGCCTAAAGGTAGGGTCTTCGCATATGATCAAGTGGCTCTCTCTCTGGCCAAGCATAGGTTTGCAAGGGTGTGTGTTGAGGTAAACTTACTAGCCAATCATCCTACTAGGATTTAGCTTGATATGGGGGAAGAGGATGCGCGATGGCAAAGGATAGTGTACAAAAGAACCAAAAAATTCTACAAAGGATGCAGAAAGCAAGGGCTTGAAGAAGTTGCATGCAGAAAGAAGAAACCATCGAACTAGACGATGGCCATAGAAGGAAAGATCTTAGCATCAAAATTAGCAGGTACAACAAAGGAAACTAGTGAGCAAAAGAAATTAAAACATGTTCAAAATTCAGAAAAGGAAGGTATTGAAACTCAAGGAATTGGCAATCGCTTTAGGAAACATTCGGATCAGTCAAAACCACATAGAGGGGCACAACAACAAGGAATATGGAAACCACATCAGTCACTGAAGGAAACATTGCGTTGGGAGAGTGGAAAGTCCGATAAATATTATGAAGATGTTGACATAGAGATTGTAGGGAATGCTTTAAAAAAAATCCCAAAGTTTTGGAAAGAGGTGAGCATTCAAGCAAGGATAAAGAGAATACAAATTCATAGGATCTTTTGATCAATGATCCCCTTCAGACTAAGGAATTACCAAATGTAGATGTACTAGTAACAGATAATGGGGTAATTCTTGTTGATAATTCCACTAAATCTCCAGATGCATCAACAAACTCACTTTCTGGTGAGCGGCTTTTTCAACTAAATGAGCAGTGCCTTTCCACTACATTTCTTATAGATCATCACTCTACATATGTAGGGAAGGAGGAGAGATCACAATGGACGATGAGATGGGGTTAACTTGTAACAAAGAGCCTCCGGATAAAGGGTTTTACTATGATAATGACATTACTTATCATATTGAGCTTGATTCTCAAGACTTGGAATCTGACCTAGGAACATATTCTCACGTCGATATAGTCAATAACCCCAACCACATAGGTATGATTACTAGATCAAGGTCTAGGCTACTTTCTCTATCCAAACCTTTAAATGATTAATATCATTTCATGGAATGTTCAAGGAGCAAACAAAGAAGCCTCTAGAAGGAGGTTTAAGAAGTTAGTTTAGTCAAATAATGCATGTTTGGTTGCTATTTTGGAGCCAAAATTAATGCCTACAAGACTAAGAGGACTTTGCTTTAGTTTGGGGTTCACTTCTTTCTTAGCTAATCTTTTAGCTAACAAGCATGTATGGGTTCTTTGGGATCATAGAGTGCAGGTGGAGGTATTTGTTGTTCATGAGCTAGCTTTGACAGTTAAAGCTTCCTTGTTGGGTTCATCATCTTTTATAGTTACCTTTTGTTTATGCAAAATGTGATCACATTCTCAAAAGGCCCTTATGGACTCATTTAGCTACTTTGTCGATCTCAAATGAACCATGGAACCGTAGATGATTTTAACACAATAGTCTTATTCGGAAAGCAAAGGTGGTGCTTCTCTTAGTCTCTCCACCATGAATGAATTTGTTTCCTTCATAAATTCAATGGTTTTCTAACCAATTTCACATGGTGCAATGGTCATCAAGGATTGTCTAGAATATGGCAAAGGTTAGATAAGGCATTAATTACCATGGAGTGGGGTGAGAGATTCCAAAACATTATTATGGAACATTCTGCTAGAGGCTCTTTTGACCACTGCCCTTTGATTATTAAAAGTTCTGAAGCTGTTGCTCATGCAAGGTTATCCTATTTTAAATTCACAGACATGTGGACCGAACACTCAAGTTTTCTTCCCTTGGTACAATCTGCTTGGGTGGGAACTTATTCATGACAACTTCCTTGTTTTTTTTTGAATCACTGTAAACTTCTCGGCAATGGCACCAAAAAGCTTGACCTAATTTAAATCCTAGACCCAAGTATAAGTAGTGAAATCATACACCCATAGGGAGCTAACTGTTGGAATTCAAAATGGAAAAGGTGAGATTGTCTTGTGTGTAGTGTGCTTCACAATAGCTTGTGGTGAAAATTTAGAACTTTCAGAAAATTACTTAAATTAAACTCTTGATAATAATAACTAAAAAGCTACTCTTTAGTTCAGGGATTTGACATACATTATACCGCTTGATTGTGAAAATACCACCTTACGACAATTAACTTCCGTTTCACTGGAAAGTTAACCTGTAGATTTGATGTATAACTAAACCATATTACAACAACTGATTAGGTTAGCTGGAAGATCTATGTACCAAGCAACAACCAGATAAACCTAGTAAACCTAAAGGAGAACTATTCAAAAAGTTTACTTTAGTTATCCAATTGGCAAGTTGATGATTTAATGAAGATGGAGTTCTGGTTTATGCATTGAATCAAAAGCATTGGCTATGATGAGATTTGACCCATCTATAACCAAATCCCAATTATTACATAAAAACCCAACTACATGCATCATTGAATCATATATGAAATACGTAATAACTTATAGATAGAATGGTATACAGCAATAAGCTTTGCTCGGTGTTCATAACCATGAGCTTATAATAGTAATAATCATCTATCAATTAAGGGAGGTATAAACATTAACGCATGAATAAAACATCAGCATTTTCATAATTCAAACAATTTTACACATACTTTCACCCTTCACCAAAGAGTATAAACGGGCAACTCACGCTTCATTGCAATAGACAAGCAATAAGAATGAGATAATCCCATTACAACAAAAAGCAAAATACAACAAGTCCTTCCCCGAGAAATAGCTTAAACATCCTCACTCTTATTACTGGCTAGGGCACAAAAGTGAGAGAGGTTCAACCCTCCAAATGGAAAGGATGAAACAAAAAACATAGAAGTAGAGAAATTATTGCTAGGAAGTGATTAGGGCAGGGCTTCAGTCTTTCTGGCTGTAAAACTCTCTCTGAAGTCTCTATTTTTCTTCCCTTCCTTCCATTCTCTCTCTGTCTAAACCAGACTCCACTCTCCTAAAACTGAACTGAAGTAGGCTATTTATAGGCACCAGAAGGGGGGTAGAGGCGACTGACACCCAAGTTGACTACTTAGGTGATTTTGTTGCTCAAATGGACCAATGGGAGAAGAAGGATGGGGAAGGCAGTTTAGGATACTGTCTGGACGCCACCACCACCGTTCGGATGGGTGAAGATTCTTTAGTTTACTCACTTTGGCAGCCCCCCTTTGCTGACTTCTTGACTTCTCGATTACACTTGCCTCCCTTTTCTTGTTTAGCATATGCACTTTTATCCCTTGAAACCCTGCAGAATAGATAGATTAAGCATTAACCATAATATTTTATAAATCAATCACTTTAATTCATTTAACACACATTGTTAACCCTAATCCCTAATTCAATTTTGCACTTTCTAAGGTTAATTAGTACACTGTTAACCTCTAAATACCCACCCCAAGAAAGACCCAAGGATTATATAAAATTTTCATTAGATGTCTAACATCAATGGTGGGGAATTGGAATGCTCGGATGCATATGCATGACCTGACATGTGTTATGGGAGCGGGTGGAGGGCTCGGGGTTTCATTGCAAGTGTGACTTTCATCTCATGACATGGCACGACATTATAGTATTCATTTATGAATTGTATATTCTTGAATGGATATTTGATTATGAATTCAATGTGAACATTCCATATGCATCTGGGTTGGGAAGTAGTCTCATTAGGAGATACCCTATTGAGCATGGCTCATCATTTATGAGAACAATTTTTAGGTGTTGGTCAAGCATCAGTGGACGGCCATCACTTGGGACCATGTTGACAGTAGAGCCAGAATGTGGCTCTCGAAGTGCATTTTGTAATAGATTATGTAATTCATTTTGAAATTGTAAATTTGTATAATGGGGACATATAATGAACTCTTTTGGATAATATTTGATGTAAATGAATGAATGGATGAATGTTGCGTGAGTTCAAATCGTTAAGCGTTGAAAATAGAAAGATTTGTGGAAAATCTGGGCCTAGGTATCTACCTAGAGTCTGGTGGGCTCAGGTACCGGTACATAGATTGTACGTACTAGTACTCTAATGGACAGTGGCTCAAGTACTGGTATCAAAACTTATAGGTGGCGGTACCTAGCAAATAGTGGGCTTAGGTACTGGTACTTGGCAAAACGAAGGAACCTGAAAAACTGAAGATCTAGATATCATTACCATGTCACTTAGATACCGGTACCTAGCAAACAGAAGGTGCAGGTACTAGTACCACGTTAAGAGGTACCGGTACCTTTTCCAAAATTTTTAAAATTTAAATATAATATTGTCAAGCCTTTCATACCTTGAATCTTATTTAAATGAAGTAATTGGTTCAATATTAAGTGCTAATTGATGGGATTGGACCTTGGAATGGTCGTATGATTAAGCGTTACAGGTTAGGTGTTGGGTAGTACCCATGTTCTAAGGAGACTCTGTCGGACTTTCATTTTGGATACAATCTTGGACTACCAAGTTATTATTATAGCTTAACTACATGCACTTGTAGCTTCAGAAATCAAGCAATTTTTTGAAATCTTTGCCAGGGAAAGGAGTCAATTTGGAGGTGTTTGAGGAGGAATCTGCCTTCACCATCATATTTACTTGTAGACATTGCTTTCTAGGTAAATTTGTTCCATTCTCTTGTAGTTATTATTTTATTTTATTACATGTAGTTCTCATTTTTTGTTTTTATATTAGTTATTTATTGTTAGTAGTGGTAGGTGTATGTCTAGTTAGCAATCCAGTAGTTCCCACAAAGACGAGTAGTAGTTAGGTTCTGCAAGTATGTTGAGTCCCTCTAGTTCTTTTTGTTCTTTACCTTCCCTATGTTTGATCTTAGCATATTATTTGGCATTCCAATGCACGATAGGGGGGATGAGGTAGATGATCAACATGGTAGAGCTCTTAGAGATTATCTACACCCCATTTGCAGTAGTATCTGTGCATCGCATGCTTTTGGCGAATGCCCAAAACTTTAACATCAAACCCGGTTCAATCCAATTGTTACCTCAGTTCCATGGGTTAGAGTCAGAAAACCTATACCTTCACATTAAAGGGTTTGAGGAGGTGTGCAATACATTCCAAGATCATACTTCCACTGAGGAGATAACTTGTTTGAAGCTTTTTTCATTCTTCCAGAAGGATAAGGAAAACATGTGGCTTAATTGCTTGAAGCCACAATCCATAGCAAGTTGGCAAGATCTCCATAAAAAAATATTCAAAAAGTTCTTTCCTCTTCATAGAACCAACATTTTTAAGCATCATAATGAATTTAACTGTCAAGGATGGGGAAATTTTCAATCTGTTGGGAATGGTTCGAAGAGTTAATTCAATATAGTCCTTATCATGCATTTGAAAACTGGTGCCTTGTTAGCTTCTTTTCTAATGTGCTTCTTATATCTTTTAGGTCAGTTTGTAGAGATGATGTCTAAGGGTGAGCTCTTTAATAAGAGTCTAGAGGCATTCAACTATGACACACTAGCAAATAATGCTTAGATGTGGGACACTACAACATTCCCCCTAGTTAGAGTTTGAACTACTACTTCTCATCGTGGTAAGTACATTTAGAAGGAGGAAGATAATTTGTGTGCTAAAATGGATTCCGATGTGAACCCCAATTGACTTGCATTGAGACCCAACAATAATATTGGAAATACAACCCAAGAAAGCCAAATTCAGGTCTATGGATGGAGAATCTAAACCCATTGAGAACTCATTTCAAGAACCTAGATTATATTAAAATCTAGACCTGTTGAAGAACCCTTCTCAAGAACCCAGATTACAAGGAGGAACGCCACAAAGGTTGTGATTTACCTTTGATAAGTTCAAAGATTCAATTAAAAGAAAGACATTCAGCCCTTTAATTGGCTGATCACATGCCTAAATAGAAAAAGGACAGTACTTGGCATACAAGCCTTACAATTAGACCCTAAAAAAGAGTGAATAGTGCGTGTGGTTACTGTAGCGTGAACAGTGTGGTGCTACAGTAACTACGAAAACCCTAG